GCCAAATTCATTTGGGGCATTGGACATGAACAGCATTAAAACCTTTCAGACAAATGGAGTTGGATGAATAGCAAATATATGAAGATTAAAATGAGGAGAGTGTAGGGCAAAGCTTGTCTGAGTTACTAAATATGATAGATTATATCATGAAGAAATGGTTGATAATTGGGATGTTAATTTATCAATACAGGTAGAATCTACCTTGTTATACAAAACAGGTTACAGCAGAGTTTTTCATCAGTTAGATTTTTTGGATAGCTAAAGATTAAAATCTGTGCCAACTGCAGGCCAATATAATTGTTAAGATTCCATCATGATTTATTAGTTTCAAAGTGGTATTCTAAAATATTGCATGTCTGTTTCAAATTAATATGGATACTCCCAGAGGCCTCCAGAGGACCTTCTAAAGCCCTGAGAGCAGCTCTTAGCAAACATAATGAAGTAGAAAGGATGGAGGCTCATGTCTACCTAAATCCCACAGCACAGACGGGCGCTTCTTTTTATCCACATGAGTGTAAGATAAATTTTAGCTAAAATAAGCAGGCGAAGAGAGGCAACAAAGGGCCAGGTAGTTTATTTGAGTGCAACTCCTGGGTGATATTCCATAGTCTGGGTATTACAGGCCGGGGAAGTCACACCCGGTCAGGGAGGTGGGGGCTTATAAGAGATTAGGAGGGGGAGGAGTGAGCAAGCTATCCTAGGGGGCGTGGAGAGGTATGACTGGCTAAAGGTGACATAATACACAACTAGAAACTTTTTTTCCTTCCAAGAGGGAGGAGGCTGACATCTGGTCTTAGCTGGCACATCAGAAGGATGGAATTCAGGAAGAGCTGTCCCCTTTCCATATAAGGCACAGACCTTGGGGTCTGGTCTGGTCTCCCTCTATGGCATCTCTCTGTTCTGTTTGCATGTCCTTGTTTTTCCTTCCTCCAGCCTAACAGTGAGAAACTAAAAATCATTTCGATGTATGCGGTTCATTACACATAGCTACAGAATTTCAAATTAATTAAGGAGTAAATTATTCATTTATGCTTACAATTCCTTAGGTTTATTTTATGCATAGAATTAAAATGAAAACTTTAAATTTGGTTTTTATTGGCATTGCTCCAGTATTTACAGAGTGGAAAACTGGTCCCTCACGCAGATATGGGGACAACGAAATTCCAAAATCAGCTTTGAAAAGGAGCGTGTCCCTTGGGGTGAGGCAGGGGAGAATTTTTGCAAATTGGAAACACATAGTTGCATTTTCGGAGTCCTACTGCCTTGTTACGTGCTAGGACAGATCTTACTAGGAGTCATCTCAGAGATCTGGCTTTCCCCTCTTACCACCATAACTTGGCTTTTCAAAAATATGTGGATTTCTAGGAAAGATTTTGTTCAAGAAATAACTCTCCTTCCTGACAGTAATGATACTCAATGGCAGGAACATCAAACAAAATAATATTGCTCAGCCTGAAGAACTGAGGGATAAAATTACTCTGGTGTTAAATACAAGCCTGACCATTTCCTTTCAATTCCCTACTTTAATCATTAAATATATAAACAGATATAAGAGGAAAATATCTCTGTTTCATCCTAGTCTGCTTCATGAACAACTCAAACTCTCCAGTAAACAAGATGAACTCTTACCTCAAAGGCCCTCTGTATTTTGACAAAGTCACTCACACTGAGTTGGTTCTCCAGCAGGGCTGGGCAGTGGGCTTCCTCGGGTCTTGCAACTTCTGTTTCCTGCAGGCTGGTTGGCCCAGGCTGTGACCTCTTGTTCCCTTCAAGTGCACCACCCTGGCAACTCATGGCTTCCCCTCTTTTCAGCAACCTTCAACTATTTCTACTCTTTGTTTTTTTGGGTTTTTTTTTTTCATTCAACAGGTGCCTTTGAAAAGAATCCCAATTTAGCAATAGAATTCAAAATGAAAGTACATTTCAGGCATGCAATTAGGAGGCAAAATGCTCAAGCTGAGAGGTAAGGAATGAAAGCCCTTAACCCCACACTTCTTTAATTCCACAATTTGTTTTCAAAATCTGCATTTGAAAACACCCTCTCCTCACACTCCGTTTACCTGGCCTGATTAGAAATGTGTAATGCTTCCCCCATGTTTATAGCAACTGACACCGAAGGCAGCTTCTAATCCTCACTTTAAATGCATTAGAAAAGAAGCTTCTCAAACTCTCTCTGGCTAACCTTGTTTCTATTAACTTGTTGAGGTTGTTAATTCCATTTTCTTATGTGGAGGCGTTAGGTGACTCAGCTGCAAGGTTTCCTCCGTCCCAATGAAGTGCTTGCCTCTGAAGGCCACCTTCCCAGCAATGTGGAGTTGTTTGTTTCATCTGTGCCTGCTGCCTTTGTACGTTTCCTGGCAACCAGCCTAAAGCTTTTCCTTCCCTGTCCTCCCCAACCCAATGACCGACCTGAAGGTTTGCCGACGTAAAGCTAATATCAAGGCCTTTAAAAAAGGATAGTTCAGACCACTCATTTTCTATTAAACCTCATCATCGCTGAATTATTTAAAGACAAGTTTTTTAAATATATTTTCTAGGAAACATGTTGTGTATTATGAAACAATATGATTAAACAAAGAAAAGGCATGGCATTCTAGAATTTTATGTTTTCTACGTAAGAAGCGTTTTATTTTTATTTAGTAACTCATTCCTTATCCTTGTCTTAGTTTCTATGTATATAAATGTGGATGGTTTAAGAAAGGTTTTCAAATCATTGACACTCTGCAGGAATAAACACAGCATAACATAATATGATAAAGCAACTTAGAGAGCCACCGCTGTTCAACTCACGGTAATGAAAAGGAGAGATGAGACAGCTGCTATTTTAAGTATTAGGTGCCCAACATCCACTCAACACTTTGCATTCTTACCTTATTCATGCTTTGCAACAGCCCTACAAGGCCGACAAGATCACTACCCCCACTTTACAGATGAAGAGGTATAGAAAATGCCAGAAGGCACACATCTAGTAAGGTGTGAAATAGGGCAGAATGGCTCTGGAACTTCGGCTGCACCACAGATGGGTGCCCTCTCTGCACCTTAGTTCCACCTCTGTAAAACTGAAAAGTCTCACTAGATATTCTCTAAGCCTCTTTCAGCTCTTTGATTCTGTGAGTTGGTGCTCACAAGGCACATGGTGATACTGTTGCGGGGCAGCTGCGTCTGGGGTCTCTCCCTGAGCACTAGGTGAGCCACTAGGAGGAGCCTCAACCTGGACAGGGGAGGGGTCCTCACTCTGGGAGAGAAGGAATTCTCAAACAGGTCATGCCCCTGTAGGTAAGGAAAGAATTCATTAAGGCAAGAGCAGCAGGGAATGGCGGCTGCCCTGCAGGCGGCAGAGAACAGGAAAGTGCAGAGGGAAAGAGGGAAAGTTCTCGACCCCCTACCACTCCAGGATTTGGGGGTCCCACGGAGCACAGGATGGAGTGAGATTATGTTCTGAGAACTTCCCAAATGTCTCGCCAATGGGTTTCAGCCCTAGACAAGTTCACTGTGGATTCAATGAGACCAAAAAATGACAATGCAACATTCTTGGGGTGAAAGGGTTTATACCCAACTTTATTTCCACAGTGGCAGGTCAATCACTAGAATGCTGTTCCCTCAGAGTAAATCGGCCTGCAGCAAGCTGGTCTCTGCCTCTGGGCCTCTCTGCCCCTGCAGCTGTCTCAGTGTCTGTCTTTGGTGCTGCCACCACTCCAGCCTCTGCTCTGCTCTTCAGCAGCCTTGCAGCTGTGCCACTGTGTCATGTCACCCAGAGCACTGGGCAGAGCTATTGAGTCAGTAGCAATGTATTGCCCACACCTGTGTAGTGAGCTAGCCAACCAGAGCCAGGTGAGAATCCTGGCCACAGGAACTTTCACATTATACACACCAAAGAAAGGAGATTTTCAGGCAGGCTACTAAGAGCAGATCACACAGCTGCAGTTCTATCCGGGTCACCCGGGAACATGCAGGTCCAAATCTAAGCTTATGCAGCCCCTTTCTACTTATCAGGAGCAAAGCAGAGACAGAGTGAAGACCGTGAAATAGCAAAGAGACAAAATGCAATAATTTGAGCAGTGAGAATGCTTTTTTTTTAAAGTACTCACTTGAAGGAATGTGCGGATGTCCTCAGAGGGGAGGTGTGCTGAAAGTTTGGGAATTCTGTCTTTTAAGGCTTTTAAGAATGGGGCAAAGGGCTTCGGGGGTGGTTGTTGGGCATAGGCTTGACTTGTGGTCTCAAGATGCTTATCTCTGGTGAGAGACACCATGTCTCCTCTCCTCTATTGTCAGTCCTCCAGCTAATTTTGCTAAATAAACCCAACACATGGGATTTATTTATTTTATTTTTCTCCCCGGTAGTGGTTACCCTCAAGCAGTGAGGATAGTATCAGTTAAGACTGCCTGCCCTGCTATAAACTGATTACCAGAGAATATGTTAAGTAGGAATCTTACTTCTCAACTCTCTGCTTTTTAAAATGGAATCTTAGCCTTAAGACGGGGTCCCTCCTGTTCTTACTATACGGTTTATATCTCAGCATTTATCACCATAGGCAGGAAAAGTTAATCAGGATGCTTGTCCCATGTCCCTGCCCTACCTCAGTGTGCAGTGTATCCCTACAACACAGAGAAGGAAGTATCCTATAGGCATTCCTATCTGCGTTTTAGGCAAATAAATGATGTTCTATTCACGTATCCACTAATTCATCCATCTCTCTGTTCAGCATTCATTCCAAAAACCACTGACTAAGAACCTATGTATGTCAGTCCTGCCCCTAAGGGCCTTTCAGTTTTATAGGGGCAGTTACCTGTCTAGTTCATCTTTCATGCCAATCTCAACCTCTTGCTGTTTACATGCTAAACTGAGAAAGATTCTGAAGTCATACCTATGCTCAGAGGAAAAGAGTGGTATGATAGATTACAGATGTGAATCAGAGGCACAGAAGGGCGGACGGGCCATGTTTACTACAAATTTGCCTGGGCCATGTTTACTACAAATTTGCCTTTCCTGTTTAGCCCTTCATGTGAGTTAAGGAAACATTTTTAAGCCAAAATATTATAACTTCCCCTAAGTTATCTCATATAAGACCAACTTGTGTCTTCCATGCTAAGATTTATATGGTATGTAATACTTCATTTGAAAATACATGAGAAATACTCACTATAGAATTCAAAGACTAAATTTCCATTTTTCAATTAAGCATTGCCACTACTATTTAAGGAGATGGACTTGACTAATATCTGACAACTCTTTGGCGCCTAACAAACAATCCATGTACAAAGAAAAAAAAACAGGAGATAAAGGGATCTAGTGCCAGAGTCTTAGCACTTCGAAGAGCTTGTGTTTAGTGACTGGACTACAAATCACTGCTTTTAAAGTTCTGTGTTATAATATATAGTGACTAGGGGCAATTTTTCCTTTTGCAGCAATCTATACCTGTGCCCTGAGGGCCCAGCATTCATGACAGCTGGACTGGACTCCACTGAAGTCATTTAGTGTGTCCTTCCTCTCTAGGCATCCATGCTATGTTTAGAAATTTTTTGTATCAAGGGCTTAACTTCTAGTCTTGGTTACACATTTATCATTGGACTGTTCCATCCTGTGTCTGTTGAGTCTGTTAAAAAAAAAAGGGTGGACTTCATTCTTTTCTTGAAAGTATGTCTGCAAAGCTCAATTTCTTTTTTAAAAACTGTCATTAGATTCTCTCTGTTCACACAACCTCTGAATTACTATCTCTTTCCACTTTGAGCTATCAGTAGTCTGACTTTTCCAACAGGCAATTTCAAAATAAGTGATCCAGTCTTTGAAACATTTAAAGTAAAAGAAAAAACAAAAACTCAAAATTGAATTGTCCTGTTTCCATTGGGTTCCTTCCAGACTAATCAGTGTTTGAAAAGAACACCCACCCCCAACCTTCTGTAGCAGTTTCACTCCCTAACACATCCACTTTTCAATGTTGACTCTCCTAATAGACCCTAGCATTCAAATTCTGTGTGTTCTCAGCACAACAAAACTGCCACGCTTCTGTTCATTCCAGAGTTGAGGCTGTTATAATCTGTTGGTACAGTTTTCTGAGTGTCCTCAAGCTGTCAAAATGTTTGCTGTGTCTATCAAAATACGCCAAATTCATTTGGGGCATTGGACATGAACAGCATTAAAACCTTTCAGACAAATGGAGTTGGATGAATAGCAAATATATGAAGATTAAAATGAGGAGAGTGTAGGGCAAAGCTTGTCTGAGTTACTAAATATGATAGATTATATCATGAAGAAATGGTTGATAATTGGGATGTTAATTTATCAATACAGGTAGAATCTACCTTGTTATACAAAACAGGTTACAGCAGAGTTTTTCATCAGTTAGATTTTTTGGATAGCTAAAGATTAAAATCTGTGCCAACTGCAGGCCAATATAATTGTTAAGATTCCATCATGATTTATTAGTTTCAAAGTGGTATTCTAAAATATTGCATGTCTGTTTCAAATTAATATGGATACTCCCAGAGGCCTCCAGAGGACCTTCTAAAGCCCTGAGAGCAGCTCTTAGCAAACATAATGAAGTAGAAAGGATGGAGGCTCATGTCTACCTAAATCCCACAGCACAGACGGGCGCTTCTTTTTATCCACATGAGTGTAAGATAAATTTTAGCTAAAATAAGCAGGTGATGAGAGGCAATAAAGGGCCAGGTAGTTTATTTGAGTGCAACTCCCGGGTGATGTTCCATAGTCTGGGTATTACAGGCCGGGGAAGTCACACCCGGTCAGGGAGGTGGGGGCTTATAAGAGATTAGGAGGGGGAGGAGTGAGCAAGCTATCCTAGGGGGCGTGGAGAGGTATGACTGGCTAAAGGTGACATAATACACAACTAGAAACTTTTTTTCCTTCCAAGAGGGAGGAGGCTGACATCTGGTCTTAGCTGGCACATCAGAAGGATGGAATTCAGGAAGAGCTGTCCCCTTTCCATATAAGGCACAGACCTTGGGGTCTGGTCTGGTCTCCCTCTATGGCATCTCTCTGTTCTGTTTGCATGTCCTTGTTTTTCCTTCCTCCAGCCTAACAGTGAGAAACTAAAAATCATTTCGATGTATGCGGTTCATTACACATAGCTACAGAATTTCAAATTAATTAAGGAGTAAATTATTCATTTATGCTTACAATTCCTTAGGTTTATTTTATGCATAGAATTAAAATGAAAACTTTAAATTTGGTTTTTATTGGCATTGCTCCAGTATTTACAGAGTGGAAAACTGGTCCCTCACGCAGATATGGGGACAACGAAATTCCAAAATCAGCTTTGAAAAGGAGCGTGTCCCTTGG